GGGAAAGGATTCTGGTGGTCAAAGGGCATGAGAAGAAAGAGTAAGGTGAAAATGGATGCCCACCATGTACATAAACACGATGTCCAGAAAACCAGCGGATTGTGAAGAACATCCTCTCTTCTTCAGTAACAGATGTTGCTGAACTGGTAAAAAAACCCACATTCCTTTGTGGGGCACAGGCCGCAGCCGTAACTGGAAAAATGTTTAGTGGCCTTTTAGTTAAAGGAATGGAATCAACACTAGTACTGAACCGGGAGACAGGCACAGAAAAAAACGTGTGATTTTTTTAAACTACCCGAGGACAGCAAAGAAACTAGAGCCAATACTAATCAGACATGCAGGCATAATCACCTGTTCCCTCAGTTACACTAACAGCATTTTGGAGTCTGATTATTAAAGTAATTGAAAACGAGTATTTCAGATGGAAGTGCTTCAGGCAAAGAGTAACGCGAATGGCAACCGAAACATCTGGACATGCTCTGATACATAAAGGTACAAAATTAAAATATGACATTAGAAGAGAAAAACACCACTTATTGACAGTGTAATTCCCCATGCAAGTTCACGAGTGAAGTCTGTACGGTTAAAAATATGAAGGCAGGAGGAAATAAAATTGATTTGAAGTGAGATTCCAGTTCTTCTTATCCTTTCTATACGTCTGGTCTTTTCTATGAAGTATGTAGATTTTAATAAACCGAATCTTCCAATGAAACAACTTTAGTGCAGACTGAATGATGTGCACCTGCGGTACTTTGTATTCCCACACTAATTTCACACTGATTCGCTCGCTACATTTCTTTTTGCCGTTGCTGAAGGCTGATCATCGTAGCAAGGCAAACTGGATTGTGACTTTTTAAGAAGAGAGGAAAAAAAGGAAAATAACCTAATGGATCTCCTGGACTAAGCCTAAGCCTAAGCATGTCTGCTTACGCAATGTGCCGGTATTACTACATCTGCAGAAATCAGAAGCAGTAAGAAAAACTTTAGCACTCTCATAAAAAAAAAAAAAAAAAAAAAAAAAAAAAAGATGAAACTCTTTTCCCCAGCTTCTTCCAGGGGCTGTATGAGTGCATTTTCTTCTCTAAAACAGAAGGAAGTTTCTCTGTGAGGGAAAGCTTTTCAACAGAACTCTTAGAAAATGTAGGTTAAAAGAGTAAAGAAGAGAGGGCTAAAGCATTTCTCTAGGAATCACAATAATTCTTTGACCTTCATTCCATTAATGTCATGGATTTTATCCAAATAACAACAGCTTACGAGCCACAGGATACGTACATGAGGTATGTTTGGATTACCAGTTAAATGCACGTTTTTGAAGAGCTTTCACGGGTGGTGTGAAACATGCTGAAGCAGGAAAATAAACAACTCGGCAATGTAACTGTTGTTCTTACTGTTTCTTTATTAGTTTAAAGGAACCTGTGGCTCACAACAAGCTGCCTCTTACAGTTCAGAGCAAAGCTATCGATGCGTGGCTACTTCCTGTGCATTGGCTTCCCTCAGGAAGTTGCTGACAACAGTTACGTACAGTACAGAATTAAATTTTTCACACTTAATACAGCATGTAAATTAACAAACTTCTTCAAACACGATGTATAAGGGAAGGAAGGCATCTCTTGAATCTACAGTATTCAAGCGTTAACTGGTTTTCTATGCTTTCCTATACACTTCTTCTTTTTTTAATACATGTCTGCTCCAACATGGGCAGATCTGCATTCCTAAAGACAAGAAATGGTTACAAAAATTGTACAAATTGTACAAAATTGTACAAAAATGGCTACAATTTAGACACGCTACAAAAATCAAACCGTAACTAGATAATTGTCTGACTAGCATTAAACTTTTCTGCTTAGCGAGGTTTAATTAAGAATATACGCATAGGAGAGCACTATATTAATTTATTTACTTGTTTGTGTCCTATACAGTAAGAGGATACCACACAGAAATTGCAACCTGCCTGGCATTCTTTTGTCTTGATTACAGTTCAGTACATTAAACAGGTTAGATCCATGGCTACATGACATCCCAAAACCACGGCATCTTCCAATTTCAACAGTGCCTTGCAAAGGTCCATTTTGTACCAGCACTCCGATTCAGCGCATTCGGAGAGTTAAAACTTCTGTTCGGAAGAGGCAGTAGCGAACTACTAGAAATGTACTATCACACCACATACAGCTTCAGCTGAAACTTTTGAGTTGTGGAATTAGATCAAAATAACACTTTCGATTTGGCAGCAGCATAGCCGATCAAGACTGAAGGGATGCTGAAGTCAATAAAATTCTGTCAAATAATCTTCACATGCAGAATGGCACTTTTGAATGAGCTCATGCAACACGGTGAAGTACGTTGCAATTCGCAATGGGTGGCACGATGGACTGAGCGAAGAAAAGATGCATTCACAGTGAGACTTGAGGCAGACAAATCGTTAGTCAAAAGGCATCTTATGTGGCAGTTTTTTAATACTTAAAAAAGGTAATAACTTTAAAAGCCCTCTACTTCACATTTTAGATACGAGCTCTCACTTCAGTAACTATTAATCAGTATCTCTAGAGTAAACGCCTTATTACATTGAGTTGAAAGAAACACAAGTCAGAATTTCTGCTTCACGGAGCTGACAGATCTTCAGGTGAGGAAGTTCCTGCTTCAGACTCTGTATTTTGCTTTGCCGTGATCATTGATAACACATATGTGCTGAAAAAAATGTAACACTGATTGCAACAGCATAGCTGATTACATTATTAATTATTAATGAATTTTTCAGAAATACTTTTGCTTGACCCATCTAGTGATCTTGTAACTACCCCTTCCTTTCCAGAGACCTGGAATTGAATTCTGATTTCACTTTCTAGCTACAGCAAGTTTTCCCGCTTGCAATTCCCAGCTTTGAGGTCCACGCCTGGGGGTACCACGGGAAGCAAAGGCAAGGCTTGCACCTTTTCTCCACCATTGTCTCGCTGAGAAAAGGGGCAGGCAAACACAGCAGTAGGAGTCCAAACCTGTCTGAACTGTAGCTGTGTTTCACTTTTCACTGCTGTCTCTGCACATACTGGGAATGGTGGACCTGTGAAGTCCCAGGCTCCCAGAAGATGGAAGCGTAGCGGAGCTATGACTTCTACGCTTAGGGGGAAGGGATGTGAAGGGACTGTTCACAGCACTGAGCGGTGACTCCTTTGGATTATTTGAGGTTTTGCAGGGAGCTCTACACTCACTGAAAGGATCCCAACCATGACATTAAGGCCCCAGGAAGGAGGCAAATTATGGGGTATTTAAAACACCCTGGAGAAGTAAAACAGTGATTTTTTTTAAAATTCGGTTTTTTGTAAAGAAACTTACGTTTAGGTCTCTGAAGTGCTCGTTGTAGTCTAAGGCATAACCTACCACAAATAAATCTGGAATTTCAAACCCGTAATCTGCATTGAGACAAGTAACAAACACCATCAATACAAGATCAGTGGCAATTATATAGCCCTTCAATTCACACGTGGGTTCTCTGACGAGCAAACTATAGATACGTGTAGTCAGTTGAGGTTATGTTACTTTTGACTCCGAGACGTCAAGGTCAGCAGCAGCCCTATAACCAGTTCCCGCTCATAGACTCTCTGTGACAGGGATGTGAGTAGTCAGCGGAGAGCAGGAGAGTTGTGCACAATTACCACTGCCACAACAGACACATTGCAGAAGGGAGCCAAAATCAGAGCTGAAAAATCCTGCCTACATTTGGAAGCTCCATTGGTACACGTGTGTGACGACAGCTGCCCAGTATCACACTAATGATGAAAAAAAATGTAGAATTTCAATTGAGAAGTATCTTTAGGAGATTTCTATCTTCTTCTGAGAACAGCAAAAACTATTTTGTGTATTATGCTACCAAAACATGTCAAATGCTTTTTAGATGAAAGCCCCAGCCTCATGAAGACTCATGCACATGCTTAAGGGAGTAAACGCACGCAGTGTAGCTGAATCATACAACTCTCCCACTGGAAGCTACGCGCAGGCACGTATCTTTCTGAGTGTGAAGGCTTGTGCAGTATCAGCACTATATAAAAGAAGTTAGATTATTTCCAAGTTGTTCACTAAGTAATGGGAAAAAACCACAGCCTTATGGACACAAAAATAGGCCAGCATAAAAATTTTATACAGGTATTCAAGTAAGGAATTTATTCAGTTGTTAAAAACTGTGGATAATAGACACTTTGGAATTGTAAATTTGGGTGAGGGAATCACACAGCGCTGTCAGTGATTTACAAGAGAAATCTCTGATGTTTTGTAAAATTAATCACAGTATGAATAAACAAGGATAAAACCTGTTTCATTTTACAAGTTATGACACAAAAATATTAAGCTACCCTTCATGAAGTAATTTTATTGTATTTTTTATGTGTTTAATATTAGTGAATCCAGTCAAATATAGACTTTAATTTACTGGATTAAATTCTAAACGTTAAAAATACCACTGTATAAAAAGTTGTACAACAAAACGTTTGGGTCACAGTTCCTATTACTGGGCTAAAACCGCAGGGCTGTGCCCAACATCAAGGAACTTTTGCTTCATAAAGTTTCCCTCTCGCCCACATCACAAATCAAGACCCTTCATGCTGCCTGCTGGTACTCACCTGCCTGCTCTCCTTCTACCCTCCTCCCCAGCTCAGCTGACCAGAGCCTTCTTCGGTGGCAAATACTGGTCGATCTCTTCTAGATGGATCTATTCTTTTCAATATTTAGCCATATACCTGTTATTACATCATTTATTCTAATAGGTCTAAAGTGGCAATAGCTTGGTATAGCTCCATTTACGGCTTCATCATAGTACAGGACAAGCACCAATAATTCAGAGAGAAGTGGTGCTGGTGTGGCACAAACAGAGAAGCAGGAGCGAGTTTAAAAAACCCAATTTATGTTCTGCTTTTTGGGGGGTGGGATTTAATTATAATATCATTGTTTACCCTTTAAACAATAATACTTTTCAAAAAATAGTAAAAAGTGTTATACTGCTATAAAAAAGTGAAACTCGTGAATAAGTAGCTCACAATAAAACACCTTTCATGCTCAGATGGAACCCTGCAGCTCCTCCAGGGATGCAATGAGGAAGGAAAAGGAAGAAATGGACTTTCTCTTCTATATAGTTTATCAGAGACAGATGATAAACCACCCACCTTTGATGGATAAAATTAAACCCTTTCATAACTTCCCTATAAAGTTAGTGCTCTGCAGAAAACATCAGACTATTACAAGGAGGCTAGGCTTTCCAAACCACAATTATACAAATCCTTCCATCGCATCTCATAGTGCCATTGACAACTGGTATTTTACAACGCAGTCCATAGAATGATATGAAAGGCAAGTGGTAGAATAGTGGTAAGTTCTTGTACTGTCATGTACAGATTTTCACAATAACACTTACAATCTGGTCTGTACCCATCAGGACGAGATGTTCTTTTCACCAACAAACTGTAATTAAAAACAAAATAAAACCCATGTAAATCTAGATATTATCTGAAAAACAGGCATAAAAACTATTCCCTTTATCAGAAAATGTCTGAGCCATGTGAATTACTGTTCTTGTTCTGCTTTTCCTCCCAACAACGTCCTGATGGCAGGGAAGAGATGGGTGTGTTCCCCTTCAAAGTCCATCAGTACCAGTCTTGAAATGGCTGAAGGGTCACTGCCACTGCAGAACAACACAAAAGCATTTTCTCTCCTTTCCTCCACCCTCCTCTGAGTGACTCAGGCAGCTCCTCTGCAGAGCTCCCCATGCGATACCGCAGCGTCACGTTAAAGCAGGAGCTCGGGATGGGAACCTCCACTGGCAAGTATGTTGGGCTAGACTAATGAACTACTAACTTTTGTGCTCGTTTTACTCACCTTGCCACTTTAATCATTTTTGGCTTGTATTTTTCTATATTATTAAGCAGAACCTTCATAGTCCTTCCAGTTCCAACAATATCCTTACAAAACATGAAAAATAGAATAAGTAAAAAACAAAGGAAAGCTGAAAAGAGGAAATCTGGACAATGACTGAGCAGTTCCACCTTCTTATTTTGTGGAAACGATAGGTCTTCCCCAGTGTACTGTGAGCCACATCCAAAAAAGGTTAAAATTGAGCTCACACTCTTTGAAGCAAGCACTTTCTACTCATAAAATAATCAGTTAAAGGACTGTCCACTTCCTCTTGAAAATAGCTGTTTCTAGTACTTGGGATGTAACACGGAACTGGAGATGACTTTACTGGGCACTGCAAGGATGCAGGGATCAGACTTTTCATATTACGCTCGAGGCTATAGTATGTCAACATCTCTCCATGTCAGGGCTAAATCTGCCCTACTTGTTGTTTTATTAGTCCAGTACCAATGAGTATTTGCCAGAGCTGCTCTACCCAGCCTGATCTGAAAGAGATCAGTAGATACTTGCCTACAAAACTGACCCTGACATGGAGAGCAGCTGTTGATCCTGAACTCTGTGGGTGTGGACTTTTCATCAGCAACACCTCGTCTCTGCTCCCCAGCTATCTGCTGGGGGATATAATCCCCAGCTAATGCTGCTCTCCAGCATTAACAAAATTTGCTGTGGACGTTTTTAATTTCTGGTACAGCAGTTACCATTAGCAAACATGGAGCTCCTAGCGGCTATTCAGGTAACCAGCCACCTCTGTGGCTGATGACTTTTTTTCCCTCCTTTGCTAAGAAAAGACATTCTGACACTTACACATTTCTTTCATTACACTGTCCAGCTTACTTCCCACACAAGCAGACTGGACCTGAAATGCCAGTCAGATCCCGAAGTGCTCTCTAACCATCTCAGTTGCTTCTCCAACATTTTACAAGAGAACCACATACATTAATTAAGAGAGAATTTGTGGCACCAGTGAGGTGACACATTCTTCTCCTCTACAACTGAACACTGTTGATTTACATCTGCAACATCTCTGTGATGGGCCCTCCCCAGGGGACGCTGCAGGATGCAATGCTAAGGAGCAGGAGTCACAGGGACTTGAGAGAATGACTGACATTCTCGACCAGCATGTGAACGACGCTGAAGTTGTAAAGCATGTGCAGGGCTATGCTACTATTTCAAAGTCATGCAACTGAGCAGTGCAGTCCTCCAAGGAGCAGAACAACTTGCAGAACAGGAGCTGATGAAACCATAGAAAGAACAAATCAAATGACACAAAAACAAAGACTCCTGGGCATCACAAGGCAGAGTGCCAATTAGAGCGGCAGCAACATAGCTTGATCCGTCGTGCAATCGCAGAGAGACTGAGAGGTCATTAAGCAAATCAACCCCTCTCCCTCTCCACCACCTCCCAGCTAAAGAAGTGTAAACACAGACGGGTTTTAGAAACTGAACACACAACCATGACTTGACTACGTGACGTTATCTCAGTACAGTATCACATAAGCACCCAACTTACCTCCACAATTAGAACATTCTGAAAGAAACAAACAAAAAGGAATAAAATTACAAACATTCACAAACTAAAAGAAACAAATGTTTGAAAAAGTAAAATTAAGATAGACAGGTGCATGTACAACATGGTAGGACACAAGGAGTTTCCTGTTTCATTTTTGTGCCCTGAAAAAGAGCCAGCCATCAGAGTCAGGGGCTATGACTTTATTCGTCTCTCTCTAGATTATCTCTTTGTGCAAGAATGTGTATAGCTTCAGAAAATAAAATCAGATGGAAGAAATCCAAATGGGATGAGCTTCACTTCATTCCAGCGTGTCTAGCCGTGTACCGGATAGTTCACTAAAGTACTACTTACAATGTTAATATGAGACTACAGCAATAATATTCTTACTCTGAAACAAGTGCTCTTTCCTCCCCCCTCCACCTCCCCAGAAATCTCACAGGAAAGAGTTACAGGCCAAGTCGCAACAGCCATTCTCATGCAGTGAAGCACTCTCTCTCTCTCCAATACTGCTGCTGAAATCAGTAGTATTACTTGAAGAAAAGGGGAGCGGTCCAGTCGAGCAGTGATTTCAAACCTCATGACAGCATGATCACACAGGCTGATCTTTTTGCTGAAATGGTTCATCACTGTTCCAGGAACCACAATATCTAAGGTGACTTCTGTTCTATTAAAAGCAATACTAAAATGTGATGTTCTTATTAGAAGAAATAAAAATCTATTTATTAGTGGGCATTATCATATGCACGTTCAAAAGGATGGCCTCGTACAATCTTGCTTTAAGATCTACTTTCTGAGGTGAAACCTGCAATAGCAAGAGGAAAGTTATTTCACAAATACCTATACCTATCTATCTGTGTAAACACATCTCACATGCATGTGTACATTCTATGTCCCACAAAACCTTGAGATAGTTTCATACCCATGCAGTATTCACCAGACTAGCTTACATTCCATTTCCTTTCTATCAATCAGGTTTGTTGGCTTTGCTACATACATGATGTGGAGACTGTCCACCTCCCATCACAGAATCCCAAGTTTGAGAGTTCTGAGAAAGACTCAAACACCATGGAGAAGGAGTGTGTGAAGGGAGTGTGCTCATAAACAGCACACCTTTGACAGTTTCATTAACTGATATGCAAATCTTTTTTTAATCTTCAAAATGGGAATTATTAATATAGATTTTTCACATTTATATTCATACTGCAGTTCCTCCTAACAATCACAGTGCTTGGTAGGGAGACACAGCATGCTTCATGTATCAACCACTGCAGAAACATGTTACCACACACTTTATTATACCTGAATGCTTCTGAAATGGCAAAACACTTGGTAAAGGTGTGGAAGGAACTCCCGGCAGTAGTTCAGCAGATGTCAGCAATGGAGATATCACTCAAGAAAGCCACTAATTTAGACTGAGCTCTGGTGGAATGTGTATTAATCTTGGAGGGTGGCTCCTTTTTGGTGTTTTCATAACAGGTTTCACTGGTGGTTACCCTGCTTGGCACTCCTAACTTTCAACCTCTCAGCTGCTGACACAAACAACTCTTGATCTGAAAGACCTAGTCCTGTGGAGGTAAAAAGTCAAAGGCCTCTTAACAACAAAAGTCCAAAGACGCCCTGCCACTAGCAATTTCTTCCTTCAGGAAAGAATGGAAGTATGTCGGACCTCCAGATAAGATGAAGAGACCAAAATCATGTTCAGGAGAAGCTTATGACAGGTGTGCAGGGACACATTTCCTTGAAGGAAACCATTTGGATCCAAAAAGGGTTTGGCTCTCATCTGGCTTCCTGGATGAAGTTGTAACTAGGAAAAACACTTCCAAAGACTAGCCCAGGACACCTGGGTCTGAGGCATAAGCAAATCACTTGATTCAGTGGACACCTGAAGATTATGTGCAGGAGTAATGATTTAACCATCCCCCAGGGAACTTGCACAGCTGGTGATATATGTAAATATTTATGTGTTTCTACACACACACACATATATATATGATATAGGGAGAGAGCAGAAGAGTTGACAAGGGAAGAACCTCACTAGAACTAAAGACGGAAATGAACTCTTTTAGTACCAGCCAACAGTCCAGGATGATTGTGAGGGGCACCTGGTGAAGGCTGACCTGACATCAGCCTGACATCCTGACCCATTCTGTGCATCTGTTCTGCGCATCTCCTGCTGCTCTTCATACTGTTGACAAGAACTGTCCTCCCAAAGTAAAAGCACAGATCTTCTAGTGGCAAAACCTATCCAGCAGCTATAGCATGAGGTGGGACATACCAAACCTGACATGGCAGAAGGCTGCAAAGTCCTGCATTAGATGACTGTGTCAGGGTGCAGCAAGGGCTGGTTGCTCCCTGAGTGAAGGGTAGCCATGAGCTGAGTGCCGTAACACAGCTGGCAGCGCAGGGGCCTCACCAGCCAGGGCCCAGCAAGGCCAGTGGGCAGACCTGAGACTCGTTCAACCAAGAGTGCGTATCATCAGGTGAGTTCGTGGTGAGAAGGCAGATCTGAGCTCAAGTTGGGATGTCAATCCACAGGTTGGGATCAGGGCCAGTGAGAGTAACCATGATCAAACACAGCCCACTGATCTCCAGGCAGGTCCTTGGTGATGAGACAGGTCCAAAGTTAAACTGGGAAGTGAGTCTGTGAGTTGGGGTCTGGATCAACATGTGTACAAGCATGGCTGTAGCTGAGCTGAAGATCGGTACCCATACAGCATAGCTCAGGCATGGACTAAAAACCCAGGGTTGAGCTGAGCTCGGATTTCTGTGCCCACAGGTGTGGGTAGGGGCCCCAAGTGACACAGGTCATGGCCATTAAGGCCTATTAGTGCACACGGGGCTGTGGCAGATTGAGAGAAAACATAGTCCTGGGACATTTCATTGATAGACAAATATGTTTCTTTGCTACCCATAGCTGATTCAGCTACGCTGTTGTGAGCAGTGATTTGGATTCTCTTGCTTACTTGCGAGTAGAAATCATAAAATGAGACACAATGAGGGAGCAGCAGCCTCCCTGGCCGTGGAATTGGGATTAAACCAATAGGGAGGAGCAGACCTTACTAATTAACTTGTGAGAAAAAAAAATCATAGACATTTATAGAAAATGGAGCTGAAGAGACCATGAAAACTCATCAAGACTATGCTGTTGGCCTGAAGAATCAACTTAAAACTATCCCTCACAAATATCTGATCTGACTGTTCTTGAATATGATGAGGACTTCAGAACATCCCCAGGAAATGTGTCTCAGGGCCTCGTTCTCTAAGAGCAAAAATACAGTTAGAAAACTGTTGCTACTTGACCTGAACTTGTTTTGCAGTGGACATAGAAAAAGCTTTATTTTCTTCTCTTTTTCCCAACTTCCATATTTGAAAAGAGATTTATTTCCTCAGTTTCCTCTACTTCAGATTAAACAAACTCTATTCATTCAACATTTTCTCACAAATTATATTTTTTAGCTTTCTGATCATTCTTTTGTTCTCCTCTGGAACCTGTCCAGTTGGTCAGAATCCTTCTTCAGTTGTGGTGACCCAAACCAGAGGGAAGCATTTTCCAGTGTTGAGAAGAATAAAAGAACGACTTTGTATGCTTTACAAACAATCCTCCTTTCTATACATTCCAGTACTACAGTTACATCTTTTATAAAGGTACGCTGTTGTCTGATGTGCAACTTGTGATCCACCTATCGTCTCCAGTTCAGAACTGTTGCTTAGTCAGTCCTTCCTCACTTGAGTTTATGCAAAAGATTACTTCTACATAAACAGAGAAGTTAGTACTCATCTTTATTGTTATTACATGTCATTCTTTGAACCAAGTTCTTAAAATAACTTCTTAAGATCATAATACTATCTTGTAGTATTTTTCCAGGTAGTGTCACTAGCATTAAATGCTAATTCCACCTTTTAAATCATGAATTAAATATTGTATAGTCCCTGGAGAACATGCTCTAATGCATCCAGTCTGACAGTGAAGCATAATTAACTGTTCCTTGAGAACAGCTTTCCAACCAGTTATACATCTGTCTAATAGAAATTTAATCTTGTCTACATTTCCTTATCACAAATGACTCATATGAAGGGAAGAAGATTAACATGGATCCAGACATGCCTGAAGGGTTTGTCTGGCTACCAAGAGTGAGAGTCACCTTCACGTGACTTCAGCTGAAGTGTAAGATCTCATATTTACTGACTAACTTGAGAAGGAAGGATATTGGTGGACCCTGAAATTGTCTGACCTGCATTCTGTTGTACTTGCTGCTTCTCCTCAGAGTCAAGGAGTCCAAAAGCTGCAAACAATATGGATTGGGAGATTTGGTCCTTTGAATCAGGCAGCTGTCTAGGTCAGAAAACACAGATTCTGTTTTGTGTTATGCACATTCTCATTATTTCCAAAACACTGATGGGATTTTCTGTGCTATGGAGAAATCCTGTTTGTAAGGACTTTCTAGTGGAAAAGCCACTATAAGATATTTAGATATGAAAACATTTTGTATATATAAATAAGCAGGCAACCTGATTGTTGAAAGTGATACTTCAATCCCTGTTTTGATTAGGCAGGGTTACTGTGACTGAAGTCATCATACTGAACTTTTGCTTATGACTGAAGGCATTCAAAATGGTTTGCTATCCTCTGGTACCAGAGACTATCTCCTACAAAACAACACGATGTGCTGGGAAATTGACTGTACTGCTGCCTATCCCCTACCTTTCTCCTGTTGAAGGAGGCTACTGATAGAAGGGTTCCAGAAAAGGAATGGCACAGCAGAGTAGTAGAGGAAAAAATTGCCAAGAAATGTTTTGATATACAGTATCCAAGACTAGATAGTGGTGGTGTGTAACTAAAACTGCTTGAAATAGATTAGCTTATCCTTGAGCAGATGGATAGAAGAAGATAAAAGAAGAGTGCAATGGATACAACAAATTGATACATTAACAGTAATGTCACCATCATCCTAAATGCACAGCTGGCTGCATCCAGTGTATCTTGCAAAAGGTCACAGTTACTTGATAGACCTTGTTCA